CACACACACACACACACACACACAACGCAGCATCACCGGCAGAAGATCAGTTTCAGGTGCGATTGCAAGACATGCGCCGGCACTAGCGTGAGATGATGAGCCTACGAACAAAGACATGGAAAGAACACACAAAAACCCAAAAAGACGAGAAACGGATCCAGCGCCTTGTCGTGATGCGAGGCTGGGGCAACGCTTGCTGATTAGTAGGCGTTGCTGAGCAGCAGCTGTGAGGTTTCGAGGCACATGTTGACCTCATCGGCCATGGGCACCACCGCCTCCCAGTGCTTGCCCAGATCGACGAGCGTGTCCCGCGCCTCGCGGACGCGGTCCCAAATGTCGCGCAGCTGTGCCTGCTTGGCAGGATCTGCCGAGGCCTCTAAGCTGTCCATCATGGCGTCGTCGTCCGTGTTGGACTGCTCGAGCAGACGCTGCAGGCTCTCATTGGCATAGTGGCCCTGATCGTTGCCGCCGTTGGACGATGCGCCGTCTTGGAAGCCAAACATGCCGTCGTCCTGCGGCGACTCGTCGCCCTCGCCCGCAAATCCGCCGTGCACCGCGAGTGCCTGCATGAGCAGCACGAAGCTGATCAACACAAAGCTGCAGCAGTTGAACGGGTTCGGGTTCACCGACTGGCCGTGCCGACGCTTGGCAATGTCGAGCAGCTTGCGACTGGCATGCACACATCGCTGCAGCGACAGCCTCGGAAGGAAAGGTCCGCGCGCATACAGGTCCTGCTGCGTCAACGACGTCGTCTGCACGCCCGGTCCAGGCGACGCCATCAAGCTGCTCGCGTCGTTGACTTCGGTGCCGCTGCCATTGCCGTTGGTGCCGACGAATGGCGCGGCATGCATGACATTGTCGAAGCTTAACGCAGGCATGGGCTCGCGGCACACCGCTGTCTCGCCCGAGCCGTCCTTGTTGTCCTTGATCGAGTTGAGGAAGCAGAGCTTTCGTTCGAACAGCGAGGCGCCTTGGAACGCCTGTCCAATGTGCAGGGTGAGCGAGGAGGTGTATAACTGCACCGCCGCCGCCTGGCGCAGCGAGTCTTCCAGCTCCTTTTCCACGTGCGCGAGGTCGCCGGTTTGCGGCACCTCGGAAGGCAGCGGCGAGTCGGGCGTGTGCGTGGATTCGTGGATGCGGATCTGCTCCTGCAGGAACTGGTCGATCTCGAGCATGCTGTCCAGGATCTCTTGGCGCGTGGCACGCGTAGGTAGCGCGTGGAAGACGGTAGGCGCTTCATCGCTGCTGACCGAGCCCGACCGCGAGACTCCGAGGCGGCCAAATGAGAAGGGCGAGGTGCCCGACGAAGACGGCGACATGGACACCTCGCGACGCGCCGGGTCGTAGCGGGCGTCCGAGGCGTCGAGCGTGTGGCCGTACTGTGCGAGCGCGAGCACGCGATCCTGGACGAGCAGCAGCGCCTGCAACGAGCTGATGTCCGAGGTCCAGACGGACGGATCCGAGGCGACGGGCATCTCGCTCTTGACGCGTGGATCGTCGGCGCGGATGGTAGGGATGCGGCCGGTGTTGTAGGCGGCCCAGAGCACCAAGCTCCAGACGGACCACCAGCAGCGCTTGCGCATCTCAAAGATGTCGCTGGGATCCACGCCCAGCGAGGTGAGCGGGTGATGAGCGTTGGAGATGTAGGCGAAGCTGCTGCGCGCCGACTTGGCCTCGTTGGGCGAGGTGGTGTGGCTGAGCTTGTGCAGGCCCTGGCCCATGGCGAGGCCGAGCGCCTGGTCGGCCTTGAGGCGCGCTTTGATGGCGCGCCCGCTGCCGTACTCGTACACGACGAGCACGCACAGCGTCTGGACGGCCTCGAGCATCTTTTCGCCGGTGTCGTCGGTGTCGGCCTGCTCGAGCAGGTGGTCGAGGCCGTCTGTGGCTTTGCGCTCGTAGGCGAGGGTGCGCTCGCGCAGTGCCGCCTTCTTCTCTTCGGAGCCAAAGTTGATGCCCTGGCCCGAGAGCTTGTGAAGCGCGCCGATGGGCTGGATCTCGTCGCGGAGCAGCGGCAGCACGCACTGGAGCGCGTAGATGAAGGCCGAGTCGGGGCTGAAGTACTTGATGAGGACATCGATGTGCTTGGGCGGCGGGAGGACGGGGATGAAGCGGTAGAGGTAGCGGTAGTAGTCGGTGAGGAGCGCCCTGACGCTGCCTGCCTCTGCGGCGGCAGCGTTGAGCGACTTGTACGAGGCCGGATACATCTTGGCCGAATCGACGGCGTTGTCGACCGAGGTGTTGCGGGAGGAGCTGGACTGGCCCGACGAGCTGGCCGCGGCAACGGAGCTGGCGTGGTAGGCGGCCATGGCTTCATCGGCATGCTGCCAGGTACTTGGGCTGGCGTTCGACTGCGGTGAGGGGCCCGAGGGGTGGTGCGATGCGTCTAGGACGAGGCTGTGAGGGGACAGAGGGTCGCGCCTGCCAGCTTGAGCGCCCTGTTGTGTCGCCGAAACGGATTGGGCATGCTGTTGAGGCACTGCGGAAGGACTGAAGTCGGCGGGTTTGTGTGGCGCAAAGTCTTGGGTGGGCCGCTGCTGTGGGTGCTGTTGTTGGTGCTGTTGTTGGGGTTGCTGTTGTGGCTGGTGCTGTGGCTGTCGTTGCGATTGCGGTTGCGGTTGCAAGTGAGCCGGTCCGCCGCCCGAGACGGAGGACTGGCTGGGCGCGTCGGGGAGCTGGTAGCGCATGAAACCGCCTGGGTTGAAACCTGGGATGGGAGCGAACGGGTCGTTGAGGGAAAAAGCGGCGACGGCCGGGTGGGCGGGTGCGAGAGCAAGCTGCAGTTGGTGTTGCTGCTGCTGCACAGGCATACCGGCTTGGACCGCAGACGGCTGGAGCACTGAAGGGTCGAAGGGCTGGTACTGGTTGGGGACGCCAAAGATGTCTGAATGTGGCTGGATCTGCTGGGATTGCATGGATTGAGCAAGGCCCAGGTCACCGGCGGGCGGGCCGGCGAGACCACCGGGACGACGAAAAGCGTAGGGCATGTCTGTGATGGCAAAGAGCTTGTTGAGGTGGTTCTGGAGGTCGGTTGTGGGGTCGACCTTCGGCTTGGGTTTTCCTCCGCGGCGAGAGACGGTGTAGAGACATTCGTCCGGACGGCCTCTGCCGACGCAAGCGGAGCAAGGCTTGCTGCCATCGCAGCGCGACTTTCTGGAACGGCAGAAGGTGCAGGCGCTCTTTACGGGTGCGGCGATGGGACCCTTTTTGTCCCTGTCTTCCGCCTTGGAGTTGTTGGTTCGAACGGGACCAAAGTCGGTTTGCCCACCGCCTGGGCTGAAGGACGAGGGATGGTGTTGGGTCGTCATGGCTGCGTCGGAAGGGAGTGACGAGAATTAGCAGGAGCGAGGATCGGACCGGGACGACGAGTGGGTCGACTTGATGCTGTGCCAAGTGCAGTCGAAGGGGCAGTGCGATGAAAGAGAGAGAGAGAGAGAGAGAGAGAGAGAGAGAGAGAGA